TCTTTCTTTCTTTCTTTCTTTCTTTCTTTCTTTCTTTCTTTCTTTCTCTTGTGCCATATTCTCTTCCTCGCTCCTTCTCTCTCTCCATTCCACTAATTTTGCTCTTTTACAATTCCTCTGTCTCTCTTTAAAGGATCCTCATCACATTGTATATTGAGTTTGAAGTTCTTGTCCTTGTTTAGAAGGCTCTATATCTCTGCCCAGGTCTCTCACTGCACTAGCCCAGCCTCTTCACTCTCTTAAAGTTGACGGATTTCTCCCTGTTTCTCCCACACAAACATCACTGTGCCTTATTCCATGCCACCACCTATGCCTGGAATGCTCTCCCAGAATCTGACCTCATTAAAATCCCTCCTAAAATCTTGCCCCTGCCACAAGGCATAAGGAAAAAGGAGGAGAGAAGAATAATTGTACGAAGTCTGCTTCAGGTACCTGAGTCATGGCATAATCTTATTTATTCAATGCTGTCCAACTGGCTCCTAGCCCACTGTTGTTTGTTCTCACCCTCACTTGTTACGTTATGTCTTAATTGTAGGTTGTAAGATCCTTGAGACAAGAACCTTGTTTAATTAAATGTCGCTGTGAGGAATCTATTATGTAACTGGGCACCATACAAAGAATAAATAACAATTCCCTCAGTCCGGCCCTCAGACTGCTACTCATCACAGAAAGGAAGGTGGGGGACTTGGAAACTCAGCACCAGGAGTCTTGGGAGTGGGGCTGGGAACAGAGAGGGGTCTCTTCCATATTGGAAATCCATATCAATACATTTTGGGTCAGATTTTTTTCTCTTCTTCCCCTGGATGAGAGGGACTTCTGGATTCTTCACTCTATCCCCAGTGGTGGCTGTCAAGAACCAGGGATGATGGACTGAGCAGTGGATTTCTCTTTCCATGCAGGCAAAGGCTCAGCCCTTAGCCTCCCTGAAGTGAGCAGGGCATGCGTGCGGGAGCAGCATGCCTCTTCTTTCTTGCATGTGCTTCCATTGCCGGGATTGCAAAGGGAGTGAATGGCGAACTAGTGCACATTCAATCAGACTGTCAGGAAGTGTGGGGGAGTCAGGGCCCTGCACTCCCCACTTCCTGCGATTCACCATGACTCTCAGCCAGTCAGTAAAACAGCAGGTTTATTAGACGACAGGAACACAGTCCAAAACAGAGCTTGTAGGTACAGACAACAGGACCCCTCAGTCAGGTCCATCTTGGGGGGCAGGGAGCTTAGACCCCAGCCCTGGGGCTCCCTCCGTTTCCCCAGCCAGCTCCAAACTGAAACCCACTCCAGCAGTCTCACCCAGCCTCTTCCCGGCTCCTCCTCCAGCCTTTGTCCAGTTTCCCAGGCAAAGGTGTCACCTGGCCCCAACCCCCCTCCTGGGCTCAGGTTACATGCTCAGGTGTCGTCCCTCAAGTGAAGTCACACCCTGATATCCCCATCACCAGTGCAGACAGTCCCCGTAAAACTCCCATGCAACATTCGCGGGTCAATCCGCCCCACTCCCTACTCCGTCACACAGACACCTGAAGAAAATCAGTCCGCTCATCAGCCTGGCTGCCTGGTGTCCTGACCTGGGCTTGGGTGAATTACAAACACTTGATCGTGCTATTGTATCACTTTTCCATTCCCAAATGTACATCAAAATGTCACGTTATAATAATTCATTATACATGGCACAGATATTGAAGTGATGTTTAAAGTATGAGGTAAAAATAAATCGCTCTGTATCGCTATGAAGTTGATTGACTTTTTTTGTCATGAGCTATTTCAAGGCCGTCTCACGCACATCAAAGCACCATGGTACAATAATCTATACTCACTCATTAATACAAAGCCATTACTGGATGACACCATTTCTTGTTCTCAGCAGGTCTTACTCATTGTGAAAGAATGTTGATTGTTTTCCCAGGCACTGCAATGGTGTAGCATTAGCCGAGGGCTCCCAGGATTCCATAAATTGTGAATTGCAGCCCAGGAGTGTCAGGCTGGTGAAATGCACCCAGGAAAATTCTGGCGGCTGGAATACTGTAACACAAATGATAGCAACCCAGGGGATTCTCTTGGCCCTTCCTGACATCAGATGGCTTTTTATATGCTCCATCCAAGAGAAGACCCTATCCCTCTCTCCCACAGTTACACAACAGTCAACTCTCCTAGATGCAGGATCTAGTCATATCGCCATGGTACAGGAAATACAATGCCATAAAAAAAAAAGACAAGTTAAGTAAAGACCAGCTGTGCCTGCTAGTCATAATTTTTTATATGTACTAATAATTTTGGACCAGATTGTGCCCATTGGGCTCTGGCCCACAGTAGGGGGCAGTGTAGAGCTATGTGGTCTCAGGAGAAGCGCCAGCTGCTATTTGAATAAGTATCTGGCACACAAGGAAAACTTGCCACTACACCACCCCTTAAGGGCAGCAGCAAGCGCTTGCCTCTACTACTAATTGGTCTGATCGCTTGTACAGGGGATGTTGGGACATAGACCATCATTCTGCCCAAGGATATAGCTGTTTGCACCCTCCCCAGTTTGTGTATCTATGCAAGAGCCACCATATTTCAAAATACTTTATGTAATCGCAGTTGAGAAATAAAATCTTCAGCCCCTTCATAACGTTTGGTCAGCAAGGTGGTCGGTATTCTGTCCAGCAATAATTCCAATGTTAAGAAATCTTCTGGGAATACTAATGAAGCTAAAGTGTTAAATGCCTTGTGGCATAGGGCATATGCCAAGATGCAATAAAGTGCATTGAAAATTATGCAAGGATTCCTGCTTACCTAGTTTGAAAAAGACTGCTAGGGCAGGGCATTAAGAGGCTAGTCAGTGGCATTCTCAATTTAAAACAAAAATTGGTGTGATGTTTAGTAAAATGGTCATGATAGGATTGACTTAGTTACACAGAGTATGATGGGCTGGAGCCTTGCTCCATCCCTTGCTTCTTGTTTTGTAACATAGAGTTTCCTCCCCAACTCTGTTGTGATCCAGTTGAATCCAGCAGTGGGGGTGGGATCCACAAAGGTACTTAGGCTCCCCGGCGATCCAGAAAACCCCTGCTGAACCTTGTAACTCACTCGGCACCCATGTTCTCAGTGTAAAAGTTCCCTCAGCACCTATGTTTCTGCCTCTGGGCATGCATAGTTCCATCTCATTCTAGGGCCAGTGTCCTGATGCCTTTCTCCTGCCTAAGCCTAAGCACAATTCATGAATCAGGGAAAGATAGACATTTGTCCACCTAAGTTGCATGTGGGACCCAATCTGGCAGGCACACCAGGTCCTATTCAAAATCTGGCCCATTTTGTAAATTTAATCACAGAATCATAGAAGATTAGGGTTGGAAGAGACCTCAGGAGGTCATCTAGTCCAACCCCCTGCTCAAAGCAGGACCAACCCCAACTAAATCATCCCAACCAGGGCTTTGTCAAGCCAGGTCTTAAAAACCTCAAAGGATGCAGATTCCACTACCTCCCTAGGTAACCCATTCCAGTGCTTCACCACCCTCCTAGTGAAATAGTTT